TGGCAGAGCAGAGAACAGCAGAGACGGGCCCTGTGCCAGGATGGCAGAGCAGAGAACAGCAGGGACGGCCCGTGGCAGAGCAGAGATCAGCAGAGACGGCTTGTGCCAGGGTGGCAGAGCAGAGAACAGCAGAGACGGCCCGTGCCAGGGTGGCACAGAGTAGGCTGTGCTGGGCGTGAGTGGGACCAGGCTGTCAGACCAAGCGGTAGCGCCCAGTGGCCTTGCAGGGCCCTTACTAGACTGGACGAGGTGCTCGGTTTTGGTGAGCGTGTGGCGGGCCGAGCCATCAGCCGACTGGGCGCTCTGCCGGGTGGTGGTCTCGGTGGCATGGCCTGTCTTCCCCGCTGCGGCCTGGCTCTTCACCTCCTGCAGCCGCTGGCCCCGCTCCTTGTCTCGCTGCTCTGCAAATGCACGCGGGGGACGGCATTAACGCGGAGATGAGGGCACCGGGGGTGATGGATGCTGCCCGGCATGGAGCCACCACAGCATCTCTGGGGTGCCCAGCAGCCTTGCCCAGTCCATCCTCCGCAACACGTCCAGGAGTCGGGGCCCCGTGGGGAACTCCTTGCCCTGACTGAGAGCTGGAGACACAGCGCCGTTCTCCAGCCAGGCCCCTGCTGCCCTCGCCCAGGATGTTGCCATGCCAGACGGCTCCAGGGCTATGGCACTGGGGAGACTCGCACACAATGATCCGCAGAGGCTACAGAGCCTGCCTGCCTCGCCGAGCCCCTCCCTGGGGTAGGGCCCAGACATCCCCAGGCCAGCTCAGGTTTCGGTAGCACGGCTCCTGGCTCCCTGACCCACCTCTGCTGCTTCCATTCCATGGCCCTGCCAGCCTGCTGCCAGGGTCAAGGTGCCAACCCCCACAGCTCCCCCAGCCACCAACCCCTGGGGAGCCACAAGCAGCTACCTCTCTTCCTCTGGCGCAGCTCCCGCATGGCAGAGCGGATCAGCCGGCGCTCCTCAAAGTCCGACGTCTGGTCCAGCTGCCAAGGCAAGCGCGACACCAGCAACCTCAGCAACCGCGGCCTCACCCCCTACCCCCCAGCCACCCCCCAGACCCCACTGAGGCCTCACCTCCCACCCTGCCCCCCAGTGGCCTCACTCCCACCCTGCTCCAAACTCCACCACGGCCTCATC